ATCCCAAACTTGCCTTTTGTGACCTTGGCAAATGACCTTCCCAAAGTACCCCTGTCTCCTAGTGGAGTCTGTGTGGTGATGCAGGTTTTAGCATTTTAGGGTGGTACCTGGCACTTGGTGTATGCTCAGCAAAGCAGTAAGTGCAGGGCAGAAGAGATGCTCAGCTCCTAAATTCCAGCCACAGGATCCATGTAGTGAGAGGAAAGAACCCCCTCCTACAAATTGTGACACATGCTCACCTACATACATACATTCACACACACACACACAGACATACACACACAGAGAGTAAGATAGATATATAGATGATAAGATAGATAGATAGACAGACAGACAGACAGACAGACAGACAGACAGATAGATAGATACAGGTTGGAGAGAAAGCTCAGCAGTTAGAGCACTTGTTCTTGCAGAGGACCCATATTTGATTCCCAGTACCTACATGGCAGTTCACAGCTGTCTGAAATTCCAGTTATAGGGGATCTAATGCCTTCTTCTGGCCTCTATGATCCCTGGCTACTGGTAGTTCACAGACATAGATGCAGGCAAAACATCCTTACACATGAATTTCAAAAGTAGTAATACAAGTTTTTAAGTAAAAATAAAAAATGTTAAAGCAATAAGTCAGAGTAAGAGTTATTGATAGACATGACACACAGCAGAGAATGTCTCAGAGGATCCTACCACTTCCATGTGCAAAGGGCATCCAGACAGAGCAGGGTCAAAGGGCACTGCCCTGGGGAGCCACAGTGACCAGAAAGCCAGACTAGATTTTCTCTCTTGTAATGGCAGGTTTGACGTGAATTGGTCTCCTGGTTCACAAGCTAAGCAGCTTTAATGGACCTAGCAAAAGTAATACCCGGATGTTTTAGTCATGGAGCCAAGGTCTCCAGACCTTTGTAATGAGGCATAGATGATAAGCCTTAAAGAATCTTTAAATACCACAGAAAGAAGTCCTCAGAATGGACCTCATCTGCAAGCTCCCCATAAACATCCCAGAGTGGAGAAAAGGGACCAACCAGAGCCACAGAAATTTAGATCCTCTCTGTATTCGGGAGGCAGAGGCAGGGGAATCTTTGTGAGTTCGAGGTCAGCCTGGCCTATATAGCAAGTTCCAGGCTACACAGTGAGATGCTATCGCAACACAGTTTTTTAAATTAGATAAAAATAAAGAAAGAAGAGAAATGTAGAACCTTGGAGTCATGTTAGACCAACGCCACCTCCCACTCCCCTACTCCAACTGCAGAGCAGTTCTGCTTCTCCCGGCAGGGTGCTATGCCCTTCGTGTTTAGTATCCTAACTGCACACAGGCGACTCTGGAGCTGAGGGATAGCGGGATATTTTGCTTAGCGGTGGAACCGATGCGAGCGAGTGGACCCAGGCATTAAAGTGGCCGCATTTGAGAGAGCAGGAATTCCTTGCGTGCCCTGAACTGAGTGGCTGAGCAGCCGTAATATAGGGGTTGGGGGCGGAGGCTTGCGTCAGAGAAAAAGTCCCGCGTGGCGTTGAGCCAATGGGATTCGGCGCCGGTTCGAAGGACCGGGACACACCCCGTTCAGGGACCGCCCACTTCCATCCTTCTGCAAGGAGCGGGTGCCTTGGACTGGCTTAGCCGCTGTAGTACTTCCTCTGGCTTTGCCGCAACACCCTCTCGTACTCAAGACTCACACTCCTGATCTACCCTGTGAGCAGGAGGGAAAGTGAGAAAGACGTCGAGAAGTCCAGGCTTTGAGACTCTCTTTGAAAGCAAATTAGCTTTCCAATCAGGCTGTTCCAGCCTCCTGGGATGTCTTTCCTACCGAGTCTCATTTTCCCCCCTGCCTTTACTGATTGCTCATCTCTCCGTGGTCTTGATCTTGGAAATGATGTATTAAGGGAGCCTACAATTGGACAAGAGCCTGGGCTCACAACTGACTTAGTCCAAATTCTGGAGCACCATCAGGGACTGACCTCCAAGGAGGCTCAGAAGGACCAGCTTCTAGGTAGCCCTAGGCGTTAAGCCTTGATCATTTTCCCTATGAGGTTAGTTTATAAACTCAGAAGGACAAGCCAAACCTCAGAGGACAGTTTCCGCCTCAAACTCCCTACCTGCCTGAGGATTTGTTTCGGCTTTCCCTCACTCCAAAAACCCTCAGTATCCCACTCTGTGCACTGGACTCACGCCTCCTGCGCCTGCGCAGCCTAGCGATCAGCATCTTCGAAGACTGACTGCAAGGAGCTAAAAATCGCTCCCGCCCACCCACAAGCTGGGCTGGACTTAAGGATTGCGGGCGGGTGTGTGTATGTGTGTGTGTGGTGGGAGTATTGTAGTGGAGGGGGAGGAATGGAAAGTAGGAAGGCTGTCGAGGTGCCTGTCCAATTAGGGCAGGAGGAAGAGTCCCAGTGGCCAGACAGGTGAATGGAGGACTCAGGTTCGTAAGCCTAGGAAGGGCTCTGGGGTGGTGAGGTGGGAGGCTGACGAACAAACATGTTTACAGCTGCTGAAGCGCTGGTAACCCCGAGGGGCTCGAACCCTGGGGCAATAACTTTACTTGCCGCACCTTCACCCCCAGACTGTCCAAACGTCTGGGCAAGGACCTGGGCCCCGCTGCCTCCGACTCTGGTGGGGCCAGATGCAGCCCAGGCCATCCTCGAGGGGGCGCGCTAGGATGCAGCCCCTCCAGTAGCCTCCGGGATACACGGGCAACGCCTGAGGGGCGGGGTCCGCGCTGCCAGGACGCGCGGCCACGGCACTCCTAGCCCAGAGCATCCTCTAGCTGCACGAAGGGTCGCCAGGGCCGACCCGGGCGCAAGTTCTCCTGCGTTCTGCTCGGCCCTGCCCCAGGGCACCGACCCCATCCCCTCCTTGGAGCCCGGGCTGCAGCGTACCTGCAGCCTCCGGCGGCGGATCAGGCCCGAATCGTCCATGGCGGCGGCGACTTCGGTCCGGGGGAGGGAGGAGGGAGGTGGCGGCAGCAGGAGGAGGGAGGAGGGAGGAAGAGAGAAGCCTCGGGGACCGCGGCGGCGGCCGGTGGGGGGGGGGGCGGAGGGCGGAGCGAAGCGGGGCGGGCCCGGCGCCGTCACTGCGTCTGGGAGCTGGAGCCCGGTTTCGGCCACCGCTGCCCGCGCTGGTGGTGGTGAGGCGAGCAGGGTTGGGTGGGTGGAGCCTCCAGATGTCCCTAAGGGAGGCGTGCTGGCGAGAGACCCTATCAAGACATTCTCTTGCACAGACCCTCCAACCCAAGAAAGATCCCCAAGGGAGCTATTCTCAACAGACGAATTCCCGGTGCGACCAGCGGCCCCCCACAGGTAACACATTCCCACAAGGATGTGATCTGCCATGAAGAGCTATCCCTTCACTCTGAAAATCACTCCTATTAGAGATAGTGTCTGAGAGGTGACGCTTCATCTCAATTTCCCCCGAAGAGGCATTTCTTCAAAGATCCCATTGGTGGTATATTTGGGGACCCTGGAGCGAATATTCCACCCCCCCCATGGGACCACATTCTCTTCTCTGTGGGAAATTGTCTCCACCCCAGGACATCCTCAGATCTCCACAGATGCATTCTTCCAGAGTCACGTGTTCAGTCAAGAGGCTGGTTCTCATGGGAGTTTCCCCCTCAGAAAAATGTGTATATACACTCAACTCAGACCGCCTTCCTTTGCCTGACACAGGACAGAGCCCTTAAGTCCTGCAGCCCCTCCAGAGTCTTTGCCTCATGGTCAGGATTAAGGAGTTAGGCCAGGTCAGGATATATTTATAAGAGCGATTAGCTGGTAGCTGGGGCGGGGGCAGATGGAGTGATCCTTACTCTGCTCCAATTGACCATGCTTCCCAGCGTTGGAGAGGACATCACTTGAACCCTAGACAGAGCGGTTTCCTAGGGTGGCATCCCGTAGCTGACCCAAGGTCTTGGAGGAGAGGTCCTCTGAACTAGTGTGACCTCTGCCCAACAACGGAGGGGAGACGAGGGCTGGGTCAGTGTGTTCTTGGTGGTTGGCCCTCGTTTCTGCACCTTTGCCTGTGTTATTGTTGCCTGCGTCTGTCTCAGTTTGTCAGCGTAACCACCTCAATGAGTCTGTTGCTTATATTTGTCTATCCAGGACTTGGAAATTTTCTCGTTCCCGGCCTAGAAAGCTGTCCCTGGTGCTGGCTTCGTGCTCCTGTCCACGGTGCTGAAATATGAGTACCGTGAAGACAATGAGGGCATGCGCGTGCACAGGATCTTGAGGGAGGCAAACCCCACAAACACGATAGAAATGACTCCCAACCACCTTGGTCCAGCCCTGACAAAAGTTGTTTCTTGTAGCAGTTGGTTCCTGGGACCTCTGTGATGTCACTGTTGCCCATAGAAAGATAGAGAAGGGGCTGGAGAGATGGCTCAGTGGTTAAGAGCATTGCCTACTCTTCCAAAGGTCCTGAGTTCAAATCCCAGCAACCACATGGTGGCTCACAACCATCTGAAATGAGGACTGGTGCCCTCTTCTGGCCTGCAGGCATACACACAGACAGAACATTGTATACATAATAAATAAATAAATAAATAATTTTTTTAAAAAAAAGAAAGATAGAGAAGTAGAAGTTCCAGTCTAGCCTGAACCCAGGGATATCCTTCCATAGGGAGGCATTAATTCATTAATTTCCTTACTCAACATCTACTGAGCATGTTCGGTAATAATTTGGCAATATGAGAGTTCAGCAATGAAAAGAGACCAAAACTACATCCCAGCCTTTGTGCTCACAACTGTTCGTAGCTCCTATTCCAGGGGATCTGACATCGTCGTTTGGCACAAGCATGATGCACACACACATGCAGTCACAATACCTGTATGCATGAAATAATTTACACTAAAAGAAGAGTGATTGGTGCTCCCGCAGAGAAACAGAGCTTGGCTCCCAGACCCACACTGGATAGTTGACAAGAGCGAGTACCCCCAGCTCTAGGTGATCAGAGGCATCTGACCTCCCCAGGCAGTTTCAGCAAAGTGCACACACACCCCAAACCCAATGCACACTAAAATAATTAAATAATTATCTTTATTAAATAATTAAAGTAAGTCTTTAAAATGCCTGCCCCACTGTAAGATAGGAGGGAGACACATTTCTGGTGGCGCTATAAATATTCTATAAGGATGGATGGATATCTCTAAAAACACGCATATGACATATGAGTAAAAGCAGAAACAGTGCTCTACACACACTGTTGTGTACGCACATATTCTACAAATACATTCACAAACACTGCATATCCTTACACATACATATTCTTCTAACACAGACACGAGCAAGTATTCACACATAATGTGTACATACTCCTGAAACAGAGACCCACCTAGTCTCCAAAAGTGTGCATAATGGGTCGGGGAGATTGCTCAGTGGTTAAGAGAACATACCACCCATGCAGAGGACCCAAGTTCGGTTCCCAGCACCCCTGTCAGGCAGCTCCAGGGGATCTGATCAGAGGACTATGACCTCACAGGGCAACTTCACTCATATCCACAGAGACAGACAGACAGACAGACACACCTGATTTCAAGTAGTAAAATATAAAAAAGAAAACCACACACACATAATTAGCAAAGAGAATCACAAACAACATACATGAATATTTGCAAATATCTGGCAAACAGACACACATAATGTGCATAAACAAACACACACACACACACTCAGGCTGGAGAGATGGCTCAGCAGCTAAGAACACTGACTGCTCTTCCAGAGGTCTGGAGTTCATCTCCCAGCAACAACATGGTGGATCACAATCATTTATTGTGGGATTTGATGCCCTCTTCTTGTATAAAGACATACATGCAGACAAAGCACTCATGTACATAAAATAATTTTTTAAAAAAAGATACATTTTAAAAACTCACACTTTGCAATCATACAAACATATATTTAGGAAAAACAGACATACAGACACTTATCAAATGCAAGCACACTCAAAAAAATTACAAACTCAACACACACAACTCCAAAACCCAAGGATGCTCTATGGTACAGCACAGTTCCCATCTAACACACAGATACACACTCCTCCCAGCAGCTCCCAGTTCCCACCTAACACAGATACACACTCTTCCCAGCAGCTCCCAGTTCCCACCTAACACAGATACACACTCTTCCCAGCAGCTCCCAGTTCCCACCTAACACAGATACACACTCTTCCCAGCAGCTCCCAGTTCCCACCTAACACAGATACACACTCTTCCCAGCAGCTCCCAGTTCCCACCTAACACAGATATACACTCTTCCCAGCAGCTCCCAGTTCCCACCTAACACAGATACACACTCTTCCCAGCAGTTCCCACCTAACACAGATACACACTCCTCCCAGCAGCTCGCACCCAGGTGCATGAGAGCCATGAATACCCCCTTCTCCAGCGCTGTTTCCCCCACCTAGTTCTCCATCTTGAGTCGAGTCAATTCTGTGAAGACAGATTGTCATATCTTGTATAAGTGCACCCCAGAAACCAGTACCGAGTTGCTTTGTGTGTTTGTTTTTGAAGCAGGAATTGTGCCATGGTTGTCCTAGAACTCATTCTGTAGACCAATCCTCCTGCCTCTGTCTTCAGGTGCTGGGATTAAAGGTGGGCCACTCTGCCCAGCTTTTCAGAGTGTATGCTTAATAAACGTCTATTGGGCAGGTGTGGTGGTGCACACCTTTAACCCTAGCACTTGGGAGGCAGAGGCGGGCAGATTTCTGTGAATTTAAGGTCTACAGAGCAAGTTCCAGAATAGCCAAAGTTACACAGAACCTTGTCTCAAAAACGCAAAATAAATAAACAAATATCTTGAATTAATGGACAGAATGCTAAAGGACACACATTACAATAACTAGAGAAAGGTACAGCAGCCTGTACCAGCCAGCACGCACATGAAACCACAAACTCAAGAGACATCCTCTCACACAACAGAGACAGGATTACCTACACATCACACACACACACACACACACACACACACACACACACACACACACTCAGAGTCACAGACAGACAGGATCTTAAATCCTAAGTTTAACACAGGGCAAGCTTGTGGATATAAATGCACCAGTCCCAAGAGCACGTGTTTGTGGCTGTGGGGGTGGGACTTTGGAAAGCCCCGCCCCTGAACCAAACCGCACCCCTTACAGTTGCCGCTGTTCGCCAGCCTTGTTCAGTGGTTCTGAGGTGTCTCAACAGTTCCTATACAACTGCCCGCTAAAGGTGAGTGCCAGGGAGTAGGTTGGGAGGTGGGAATCTTGTCTCCCATACTCTTGCCTTCCTCTGTCCAGCAGCTTGTAGTGCCTAGTGGCAGAACCCCAGCCCTGCCAGAGTCGGGCTGATACTAAAGGTCCAGCCCAGGGTGGAAGCTCCTAAGCCGATTGTGGATCCAGAGAAGGTGACCGTGAAAGTAGTGAGGAGGGCAGGGCTGGAGAGAGAGAGGAAGTCTTGGGTAGAAGTGGGGCTTGGAAGAACTGGGGTGATCCTGCTCCTCTGAAGGAAGTTAGTAGCAGAGGGCAGACAGGATGAGAGACTGCTTGCATGTGTGGTTTAAGATGGGGGTGGGGCATGGGCCAGAAAGAATGAATGGAAGGGATGTGTGCCGGGAGGGGCTCCTCCTGAAACTCCCCCTAGGGTTCTGGGAGCCTGGCCTTTGCCTGGCCCCTCTAGTATTGCCCGTTCTCTGTGCTTCCTGGCACCCATTTCCGGTGTCTGCTCACCAGCGCCGAGCTGAACCTCCAGGACAGTGACACCTCACCCCTCCATACCAGCTGGCTCTTGTCTCAGTGGACATGGCCCACAAAGGCCACCTTCAACCCAGCAGCCTGGACTGGGCCCTGCGACTGATCCTGGCATGGATCTTCTTGGTGGCCTGTGGAGGGAGCCACCCACTGAAAGTTATGTTCTGGGGACACCCTGGGCTGCCAGCCAGTGTGGGCACAAACCAGCCGCACCTAGCAGGTGAGCATCTTATGTAAGCCCTAACCCAGAGAAACCCCACTCTGAGCTTCCTTGTAAGAGGGGTTTAGGGTAGCGATGAGGGTGGGCAGCCAGGGTTAGTGATGAAGAATGCTGGTTAACACTCCAGTCTCTGGGTATTGGGCTGCTTAGTTCAATTTCAAATCCACACCTAGGTGCTGTGACCTTGAGCCGGTCAGTTCAAGTCGGTAGAGAGTTAGGCGCTGTGATGCCCACCTGTAATCCCAGCCCACAGAAGGTGGAGGTAGGAGGATTAGGATTTCAAGGCCAGCTACGTAAGGAGTTGGAAGGCCAGGATGAACCACATGAAACTCTATCTCAAAATAAATGCATAGGGCTGACTGACGAGAGGGCTCAGTGGGTAGAAATGACTGCCACCAAGCTTAACAACCTGAGTTAGGTCCCTGGAACCCATACGGTGAAGAGAGAGTCAATGCCTGCAACTTGCCCTGACCTCCACACACAACAAATACAATTCTAAAAATTAGTATCAATAATGCTGAAGATATAGCTCAATGATAGCATGTATGCCTAACACGGGAGTGCCCTAGACCCAACCCCCAGTAAATAAGAACATGGAGAAACCACAGAACTAACATACATGTGTTGTGGAAATGAAGCACATACACACTATGCTGCAGATATGACCTGATTATGAGCAACACACGGTTCTAACTGCTTGAAGTCACGTTTCTCAGAACCTGGTGCCTTTCACACGCTAGGCAAGCTTTATGCCACCAGGCCATAGCCTAGCCCCATTTGTTCTTATTCTCACCCAGGATCTAAGTTGCCTAGACTGCTCTTAAACTTGAGATTCCCTCTGCTTCAGTCTCCAAGTGTCTGGGACTGCAGATCCATGCCATTTTGTTCAACTCAAGAGAAATCTTTTTAAGGTTCTTCTCTTTGGGATGGCTGATAAAATTCCTGTTGTCAGGACATCCTCAGTCCTCGGCTCCACAGCCTTACTCGAGGACCCAAGATCCTGGTTCACAGGCATCACCAGTTCCAGAACCTTGCTGTACCTCAGAGCTAGAGGGGCCAGAGGCATCAAGCCCGGGGGCCCCTCTAGAGAGCTGCGGTGTGCCAAGCGCAGAGTGAGTACCGCACCCACTAGCCTGTCCCCCGGTTCTTCGCCCTATTTGCCCGCACCTGGGCTCAGACTTAACTTCCCCTGAGGACTGTGCCCTGCCTGTCCTGTCTCTCCCACGTCCAGATGTGAATTCTTCTTGGGACGCCTTCAACGTACCCTCCGCAATCGCTTCCATCAGCTGCTGCTTGGAGTACACCGAGAGCAGCCTCTCTGCCCAGAGCTCTGCCAGATTTGGTAAGGGAGGCGGGGACAGGGGCGTGCCCAACAGTATGGCCTTAGCCCCTACAGAGCCAGGGTCTGTCTAAGAGATCTAGTGTGGATCCGAGGTAGAAAGGGTAGATCTAGGTAGATGCCAAGGTAAAAGAATGACCTAGCATTTAAGACAGCGTGAAGCCGTGACTCTGGAGGGCCAGGAAGTGTCAAAAGATTCAAGTTTTTGACCCTTAGAGGAGCTAAAAGAGGAATGCAAGGAGCGGCTCACAAACAGGTTCTCTGGGCTGGAGAGATGCTTACTGCTTTCTCAGAGGACCCGGGTTCAGTTCCCAATACCTATGTCAGGCTCACAGTTGCTTGTAATTCCAGCTCCAGGGTATCTGACGTCCTCTTGGGAACCCCCCTGGCACCGCCACTAGTGTGTACACACATAATTCAAAAGTAATTTTAAGTTGGGTGATGGCGCCACATGACTTTAGCTCCAACACTCAGGAAGCAGAGGCAGGAGGATTTCTGAGTTCCAGGCCAGCCTGGTCTTCAGAGTTAGTTCCAGGGCAGCCAGGGCTACACTGAGAAACCCTATATTGAGTTAAATACTTTTTAAAAAAATATTTATTATGTATACAATATTCTGTCTGTACAAAGGCCAGAAGAGGGCACCAGATCTCATTACAGATGGTTGTGAGCCACCATGTGGTTGCTGGGAATTGAGCTCAGGACCTTTGGAAGAGCAGTCAGTGCTCTTAACCGCTGAGCCATCTCTCCAGCCCCAGTTAAATACTTTTTAAAAAAGGGAATGGATACTGCGGTGGTACTGGTGGCCTCTAATACCAGTGCTTGGGAAAGAGGGTCAGGAACTCAAGGTCATCCTGAGATGACAAATAGCTTCTAGACCAGCTTCAAGCCCTGTCTATGAATAAACAAGCCTGGGGAATGAACCCTGCAAAGGCTGGGTTGGTCTTTTGAAGGAATGGAGCCTGAGAGGTGAGGCCATTGGTCAGAGAGCAGGACAAACCAACTGGCTCTAAAACCCTAACCCATCTTCCCTTCTCACATACCCAGGCTCACTACCTGCAAGGCAGATTTTACCTGTGGCCCGACTTGGCTGCAGCCCTCTGGGAAGAGGGGCTGTGAGGCCAGTTGCCGCACCTATGGGCAGGTGAGGACCAGAGTGAGGGGAGGGATGGGATTCATACTGTGGTCTGGAGTACTGACGTGCTCCAACACCTGAGGTCTTTTAACTAATTAGGTACTTTTCTGAGATAGGGACTTTCTACATAGCTCTTGCTATCCTGAAACTCACTACTTAGACCAGGCTGACAAGATCCACCTGCCTGTTGCTCCAGTACTCCCAATCAAAAAGTGTGGGTTAGCACAGCCGGATAACCTTTAAAGACTTACTTTTATTCTGAGTGTTTTGCCTGCATGCATGTGTACTACCTATGTGTCTGGAGGAAGTTCTCACAGTATGGAGTCCCTAGAATTGGAATTATGGTTATAAACTACCATGTAGGTGCTAGAAATCTAACCTGGGATCTCTGCCAGAGCAGCCAATTCTCTCACTGGCTGAACCATCTCTCTGGTCTAAAGGGCTTAGCCCTACCTAGCCCATAGGCTCATCTCCTCTCTTCCACTGTCCCAGCCTCCGTGTGGGACGTGTACATAATGCCTAGGAGCCCACTGACTCCAGACTCTCCTTCCACGTTAGTCTTTGCTCTGGGTTCTCAGCAGGCCCAAGAAACCTGTTATCCCTCCCCTGGCTCTGGCCCTGCCAGAGACTGACCAGTCCCTCAGAGGAACACCATTGCCCAGATCACACCCTGGACCAGACCAGCCCCAGCAACGCAAGTTCCACCTTCTTTAACCCTGACCTCACCCTTTCTCTTAGACCTTCGCCAATGCGGAAGACCTGTGTCGCACAGTTCTGGGCCACACACTACAGGTGGCAGCTCCTGGTTCACGCCACTGTCTCAATGTCTCCACCTCCTCTCCACGGGCCCGCCACTCTCGCACCTGGATCTTGAATGCTGCAGGCAGTGGCAGTGGTAGCGGCAGTGGTGACAGCCCTGAGTAGGAGCCACCTAGAGTAACATCCCTCTCCTCTCCCTCCCAAACCACGCCCTGGGGTTGCCTAGACAGACTTTTTCTACCCATTATCCTAGAAATGGCTCACCGCTCACTTATTTTGCTCTCTTTCCCAGAATAAAGTTACTGCCTAGACCACGTTATACGATGTGGTTGCTACTTGGAGAAGTAGTTGGGAAGAACTGCAAAAAAAAAAAAAAAAAAAAAAAAGAAAATCTCATAGGGGAGGAGGAAGGGGGGGGGAGAGGAAAGGAGAGAGAGAGAGAGAGAGAGACCAGGAAAATGGCCCAGCAGGCCAACTGATGATCTACATTCTATCCGCAGAACTCACACAGTAGTAAAAGAACCAATTCTTGCCTGGCAGTGGTGGCGCACGCCTTTAATCCCAGCACTCGGGAGGCAGAGGCAGGCGGATCTCTGTGAGTTCGATACCAGCCTGGTCTACAAGAGCTAGTTCCAGGACAGGCACCAAAGTTACAGAGAAACCCTGTCTCAAAACAAAAACAACAACAAAAAGAACCAATTCTTGCAAGTTGTCCTCTGACCTCCACATCTGTGGTGGCACTCATGTGCCTTTCCCCCAAATAAACAAACAATTTCTGCTTCGAGTCAGGGTCTCTCATAGCTTTGCCTGACCTGGACTTACTTGGAGGTGTGCCTGCCTCTGACTCCCAAATGCTGGGATTAAAGGCGTGCGCCACTACAACAGCATGAAAGGTAATAGAGGACTCTGAGAGACAGCCTGCCAGTAACAGCACTGACTCTCCTGCAGAGGACCTGATTCCCAATACCCACAAGGTGGCTCAAAACCATCTCTAACTCCAGCTGCAGGTGATTTGGTGCCCTCTTCTGACTTCATTGAGTATTGCATGGATGTGGTGCAGAGACATATCTACATGCATCTCTCTCTCTCTCTCTCTCTCTCTCACACACACACACACACACACACACACACACTCACACACACATACATGTCTATCTCCCCCCACACCCCCTGGAGAGATCTGGCTGTCCTGGATCTTGCTCTGTAGACCAGGCTGGCCTCGAACTCACAGAGATTCACCTGCCTCTGTCTCCCGAGTGCTGGGATTAAAGGCGTGTGTTGCCACTGCCTAGCAACACCTTTATTTCCATCACTCAGGAGAAAATAGAAAGGCAGACTTCTGTGAGTTTAAGGCCAGGACAGTCTGGGCTACATAGAGAAATCCTGTCTTGAAAAACAAGACAAAAATTTAAAATGGGGCCAAGCACAGTAGCACACACCTTTACTCCCAAGCACTCCAGAGGCAGAAGCAGGTGAATCACTGTTGAGTTCAAGGACAGCCTGATTGCTGGGTGGTGGCACACACCTTTAATACCAACACTTGGGAGGCAAGGGGCAGGTGGATCTCAGTGAGCTCAAGGCCAGCCTGGTCTACGTAGTGAGTTCCAGCAAACTAGGGCTACACAGTGAAACTTTGCTTTAAAATATTATTAAACTGTACCAATCTAGAAACACCTATTCTGTTTGAAGAGTCAGCTGCCAGCCCTCAGCCACAAAGCACAGCGTTTACTCTGTGAAGAGCTTCATTCCTAGGGGTAGGTACACATATTTACTCCTAGAGGCTGCTGACTGCCTCCAGGCCTCGCTCCTGGAAGTATCTGTGGGGGAGCTGCGGGCGGCAGGTCTGAGGTCCCTGGCTGAAGTAGGATGTGATCTTCCCTGGTTGCTCAGGATCTTCCTCAGCAGCCGAGTCCTCCCTGTGGGGAAAAGGAATGACACTGGCCACTTCCCAAGGAGCTGCGTGAACAAACATGGCCTCCTTCCCTCTTCTGCCCCCCCCCCCCAGCACGCTCAGGACACGAACCACGTGACACTTTCTGCCTCCTTTTCCAGGATGGCCTGGGCTGTGCTCCAGCTGAACCGGACAAACTGAGGGAAGCCAAACACAGGGTCTACGTGTTTCCTCAACCAGGCTTTTGTCTTGGGATCTAGGGAGAAAGAAGCAATGGTGATTGCACCTGAGTGGCAGGTGACAGTCACGTGCCACCTTCATCGTCAGCTTCTTTACTTTGTTGTTAAGACAGAATTTCACTCTGTAGACCACTGGCTGGCCACCCGACTGCCTCTGCCTCCAGAATGCTGGGATTAAGGGCATATGTCTTTGGCTTTTTTGAGTACCAAGACACCCCCTCTATCTTAAGTTCCTTTCTGTCCCATGTCCTTTGCATAGGCAGGTGTGGTCTGTCTCCAACCTCCATTCTGTGTCTCATCAGTGCTTAAGAAGTATTGGGAGTATTTCTGAGACAACTCCCTAAAACACAAGGGTAACAGTCATCAAATTGATTTTTTTGTTTGTTTGTTTTTTTTTTTTGTTTTTTTTTTTTGTTTTTTTGTTTTTCGAGACAGGGTTTCTCTGTGGCTTTGGAGCCTGTCCTGGCACTAGCTCTGTAGACCAGGCTGGTCTCGAACTCACAGAAATCCGCCTGCCTCTGCCTCCCGAGTGCTGGGATTAAAGGCATGCGCCACCATCGCCCGGCTGTTTGTTTGTTTGGGACAAGGTCTTGCTATGCTGCCCAGGTTAGCCCCAAACTTGTGATCCTCCTGCTCCTGTTTCAAGGATAAGAAAGTACTACTGTGTCTAGCTTAACCTTTCCTTTCTTAAGAATTTTGTTGTGGGGTACAACTCAAGGCCTTGCCCACAATGAGCACATATTCTGCCACTGAGGTGTAAACCAGCCTCAAGTCGCCAAATCCTCGCAGCAGCCCACGTCTGCGCTCGTGTTTGGGGAGCGGGTGTGCAAGTATTCCTGTCCATGATGGAGGAGACTGGAGTCTCATAATGGAAAAAGTATGAAATGAATCTGTGCTCCAACTCCTTCCATTTGCTTTTGTTTGCTTGCTTTGGTTCTTCAAGACAGGGTTTCTCAATGTAGCCCAGGCTGACTGCAAACTCACACAGATCCACCTGCCTCTGCCTCCTGAGTGCTGGGATCAAAGGTGTATACCACCACCCAATTTTATTTTCTTCTTCTTTTTTAATCTTTTTGGTTTGTCATACACGGTTTCTCTTTGTAGTCCTGGCTTTGTAGTTCTGGAACTCGCACTATAGACCAGAGTGGCCTCAAACTCACAGAGATGAGCCTGTCTCTGCTTCCTGAGTGCTGATATTAAAGGCTTGTGCCACCACCGCCAGGCTTAATGTTTATTTTAAATTGTATGTATGTGTGTCTCTGTGTGCATAAATGCATGTGTCCTTGGAGGCCATTGGCTTCCCTAGAGCTGAAGTCACAGTTATGAGCTGCCCAGTGTGGGTACTGGGAACTGAATTCTCATCCTCAGCAAGAGCAGCCAAGTACTCTTAGCTACTGAACCATCTCTCCAGACCTCATTTTGATTTTTGAAAATATTTCCTTTTATTTTACATATGTGCACCATGTGTTTTGCAGGCATGACACATGCACATGGCACACAGATATATATGCTGGCAAACCACCCATACATATAAAATAGAATTTTGTTTTGCCTTTTGAGACAGGGTCTTTATATAGCCCTGGCTGTTGTGAAGCTTACTATGTAGACCAGGATGGCCTCAAACTCAGAGATCCTCCTACCTCTGCCTCCAGAGTGTTATAAAAGAGTTTTTAAAACTTAATGAAAACAAGACCCTCAGCTCACCATTGGGATAGCCTGAGCCATAGTCAGAGTCCAGATCCTGCAAACTCTCCACAAACTGCCAGTTCTTCACAGCCTGGTCTCGAGCCACCTGCAAGCAAGACAGGAAGTAGTTTAGTGTCTCCTTCCTCAGGGGAGTCGTGCCTGTCCCTACACAGGGGAGATGCTGGGAATGGGCCTCGGCCAGCAGGATGCTAACCTTGGCAAAGATGCTGGCAGCACTGACCACAGGGAACAGGGAGTCTGCCTTGGCCTTGACTGTCACCTCTATCCCAGGAAAGCGCTGTTGCAGTCGAGCCTGGTATGTCTCTGGCATTCCCACGGTGTCCACAAATACCTGCCATGGTGACAGAAACGCAGTCATCTAACCGACAGCAGAAAAGACAACTGTAAAGCACACAGTCTCCTGCTCTGTGAGGACCAAACCCTCTTCCTAGCACTAAGCTGCCAGCCCAGCGTTGCTCATCTTATGGTGTACAGGTGTTCTGTCTGCATGCATGTCTGTGCGTGCGTTTGCCTGGTGCCTGCAGAGGCCAGAAGAGGGCGTCAGATCCCTTGGAGCTGTAGTTACAGTTTTAGCCACCGAGAGCTAAAGAACTGAACAGAGCTGAGAACTGAACACAGATCTATAAGAGCAGCAAGTGCTCTCAGCTGTTGAGCCATCTTCCCAGCCCCACAATTTTTTTTTCTTTTTCAAGGGAGGGTTTCGCTGTAGCTTTGGAGCCAGTCCTGGAACTCACTCTGTAGACTAGGTTAACCTTGAACTCACAGAGCTCTGCCTGCCTCTGCCTCCCAAATGTTGGGATTAAAGGTGTGTACCACCACCGCCTGGCCAGCCACACAATTTTTTAAAAAAATTATTTATCAGGGTTAAGGATAGTTCAATCATAAGACTGCCTCTTACTACACGAGCAGCTCTTTCCGCCCCACCCACAGCACTGTTTAAAATACTGGTCTCAATCTCCCTTTAACACAGCTCCTCAAGTGGGAACCCCAACCATACAATTATTTTGTTGCTACTTTCTAACTGTAATTTTGCTGTTATGAATTGCAATATAAATATCTGATATGCAGGATATCTGATAAACGACCCCTCAAAGAAATTGCAACCCACAGATTGAGAACTACTGACCTAAAACAAGATATACTTTCCCTAAGCATGAGACAGGCTTGAGCACTTAGTGCGCATCGTTATTGTAGGGGCTGAGGACAAGGCTGCAAATACCCTACATTAGAATCCTTGCATTTGGACTGGGGATATGGCTCAGCAGGTAGAGTGCTTGCCTAGAACACTCAAAGCCTCCGTTCCATCCCCAGGACCACATTCCTAGCTTTGGTGGCATAGACCTGTCCTCCCAGCACTTGGAAGAGGGAGGTAGAGATCAGAAGCTCAAGGGATAACTGCATATGGAGTTGGACATGCTGAGCTACATGATATCCCTCAAAATCAAAAAGGGGTTAGAAAGATGGCTCAGTAGTCAAGAGCAGCTGCTATTCTCAGGGGACCTGGCTTCAGTTCCAACAGCCACATGGTGGCTCAAAACTATTTGTAACTCTAATTGCAGGAGATCTGACACCTTCTTCTGACATCCAGTGGGCACCATACATGCATGTGACACACATACATACGTGCAAACAGCCATACACATAACCTTTTAAGTTCATTAAATTAAAAAAAACCCTACATTTCACTGAGACTGTCTGCTTTGCAAAAATCAGGGCAAAGGGGGCCATCTAAAAGTGAGCCCACTGAGAAAACTGGATGGGATGGATTCCCAGGTATAGGGTGGACCCTGACACAGGACTGAAGCCGGAACAAGTGGAACTGTGGAATCACTCTGGACCATTGGAGACTTAGGATAGGGAGGTTGGGGCATATATTTAGGGCAGGACTAATCAAAATAAAATCTGGTTCTAATGCTGAATTTGCCAACTAAACTTCTCCTGAAGGAAATCTTATTCACTTTCTGTAGTATGTGTGTACACACACACATGCCAGGCTGTGGAAGTCAGAAGACATTGAAGAAGCCAGTTCTCCCGCATGAGGATTGAACTCAGACTGCCAGGGGTTCTTATGCACTGAACCACCCTGATGCTGGAGAGTAGGCCCAGGTGCTTGAGCATGCTCGGCACAGCGCTACTGCTCACCTGCAATGCTGACCCTCATTTCCCTTCCATCCATCGTGTGTATGCATGTGCAACGGTGCATGTGTGCCCCAGCGTGCCAGGTGACAGGTGCGTGAACATTCAGGAGGAAGCTGGAAGTCACAGTCTACAGGGTGGTGGTGTGCACCTTTAGTCCCAGCCCTTTTGAGGCAGAGGCAGGTAAATCTCTGTGAGTTCAAGGCCAGCCAGACCCTCTCTCAGAAGCAAAACTAAACCAACAACAACAAAAATAAACAAAAAGAAGAAAACCCATCTATGTGAGTTCGAGGCCAGCCTTGTCTACAAGTGCTAGTTCTACGACAGGCTCCAAAGCTACAGAGAAACCCTGTCTTGAAAAACCA